TTGCCTATGGCTGTGGCTGCCATGGTTCAGCCTCATTTAAATACCTCTGGGTGCATAATCTGGGACTGTAAATGTCAGTCAGCCTCAAAAATGCACTGTTGACTCAACTACCACCAGTGTTTCGTTTACTGCAATGAGGACTGTGTCCAGCGTGGAAGGAGTGTTCTCAACGGAAAATTTGGATTGCATAGGCCAAGCATTTTGGGTTGTGGCTTTGTCGATCAGAGTATTTCGGGACTCGAGAACTAAGCATTGAGCGCAACCACCGTGTTTGTGGTGGTTGCTGAGTCTTCGTTCCTGGCTCTTCAACATTCGCTCCTCGTTTGTAGCTCACACCAATGTTTTTTTTAACTTTGACCGTTTCCCGGCCGTGTACACACGCGGACACACTGGGGGCTCGTTTTTTTCCGTGGTCTTTGTGATTCACAAACCTTAGTGAACGTGTCTTGCCCGGGTTGTATCCCATCGGCGGTTCTTCGGCTACAGAATGCATCCTTTTCTGATTGGATAAACATAGGACCTGGTTATTGTGACATGCATCTGTACTAATCGGTCACCCAAATGATACCAAGGCGAGTAAGGCTAAAATCCATGAGAGATGGCTTAACAATCACATGAAACACTGCAGTGCACTACATTGCATGTACACCAACTAAGCAGATCCAATGCTGCGTTCAATTCTCCGAAATAAATTGATTACTACGCTCGACCTCCGAATTTGAAATTGTCTCTTAACTGTTTTGTTTAAGCTGTGATTTACGAGAAATCGAAAAAATGCCAAGATTGTCCGACCGAAATGTACGAATTCAATTGAAAGCAGAAAACCGGGTTATTCCTTCAATGAATTTGTATGGAAAACTTTAGTGAATTCTGTGGTGGTGTAAGTGCTATCCTTTGTTCCTGAACATACTGTTAACCTTACATTTATGTGATCGTCTTTTAGAGCCACCCAATTTTGCCGATTCTTCACTCTAGTCGATGCTCAAAAGATGGTGCTTTTATTTGCTTGATACAAAAGGTTTTGTTTGAAATGACCAAGCTTCTATTCGTAGACACTTTGGGACAAAATGTTTTGGGTAGAATGGTTATTTCTTGCACAAATATTCCTTTCCCTGTCTCACGTCAGACAGCGAAGTTCGTTTGAAAAATCTCACATAAGTAAAATCAATTTATACATAGCTGGACCGGATGGGATCCAACCATTTACAAGGTTTGCATTTAAACAAATTCCTCCCAACCAGCCCCCCATCATTAAAAACTTCCTCAAAGATAGCAGTGTCAGATCACAGTATTTAACGCAACAAGGAGATCCATTTACGAGAAATCTTAGGGCTCGTTTATAACATCTGAGGGATTCAATGTCGAGAAGACTTGCAGAAATTTATTTTCCTGGCACTTTGCTTAAAAGCTTCACTGTTAAAAGAAGAGTAATGGTTTGGTACTAATTGAACGGAAGTTGAACAAGAAGTTTCCTAAAGATCAACTGAATGCGGCTGAAATTTTTGGTGAGTGGAAGAAGCCGGCCGCTTAGAAGACAATTTCGTACTCTTCACACATCAAAGCACAGGTATTAGATAAATATGATGGTCATTGGTATATTATTATTAGTAGTAGTAGTAATAGTAGTATAATTGTGGAAGTAGCGCGCCTTCTATAAGCACTTAGAATTTATTAATTAATAAAGGGATTTGATGAGTGCTCATCAAGTTTCTTGCTTTTTCAACTATCAATTGAAACTATGGGAACTTAAAGAGCTGATCAAACTTGTCGTTGAATATATATATCATTCCAACAGACTACCAAATGAGGAGAATGAACCGGAAATATAATGCATTTTTCTCACGCACTGAAATACGAGCGAAATTAGTGTCACGTGATATGGATGACTTATCCGGACTACTGATGACACTTAATCAGTTATACTCTAATCACGGCTCTGACTTTGTGGCATCGAGTTGCATTCGGGGGAATAATAATATGCGTTTTAAATTTGGCACGGTAGCAATATACCAGAAACTATTGCTCCTCGTTGTAGTTAATGTGGAACGGTGTAATTAAATACCGGAGCATTAAGAGATCCATTTACTGTTGATCCTGCTGTAGCCTAATACATTTCTCCATTCCTAAGTAACAGGGCTAGTTTGCATAAGCTAGTGGTAAGTCATCAAAATTACAGGGTTCATCATTTTCTACGCTTAGTGAAGATCATTTTTCGGTTTAGTCGATTACATAAATAAACCTGAATCACATAACAGACAGACAGAAAATATTCTGCACATATCTGGTAAGTGTATTTTTTAAACAGAACTCAGCACTATCCAGAGTGTCACGTGCGGGATGCCAACAACAAGCTGCTCAGTATTTACTTCCTTCGAAGATCGTTAGGCGGGATGAATGTTTACTTTTTGACCTTTGAAATGGATTGCTTTGGAAAACTAGGTCAACAGGTTACCCTTCTCCGCCAGCCAGTGAAAAAAACGCCAAATGGACGGGCGATGCGATTTGAATTTGTTGGAAAAATCGATACTTCCTCTCCTTTGTAGAGTGTTCAATAATGTTTTCAATTTTATTATTGATTTGTTTATTTATCTGTGTATTTACTTTGCACCGCATGTAAAGGAGTGCTATTGAAAATACCTTTGTGGATCCAAATAAATACATTCATCAAACAATCATCAGAATTAGAAAGAATAAATTTCCATGCTACTCTGCACCAAATATTTTCAAATTCTGAGCTGTAACTTTCGCACTACCAATAATTTTATCATTGTGCCAATTTAACTGGTTATACCAGAGAATTAAGAACATTGCAGTTCGGAATAAAGGCTCTCCATCTGCAACTATCGATACGCAAGTATGATAAAGGAAAGTGAAATATACTTCTTAATTTAGATTCCTGTCACACGAGTTGGACCAACACCTCTAATCTTCGTCATTTCATTAATGTTCAAAAATTATTTGTTTGATGTGTCACTCTAGTCTGAGGTACTTTCAAGAAAACTTGCCATCGGTAATGGACCATCAAAAAATGACGCAATGTACATTGTGTCTCCTAATACTATCTGTATTATTTACAATTCTACAAAAATGCACTTCGGGTAATATGTGTAGACACAATTAACTGGACTTTCGAAAGAGAGACCTGCGTGCAGACCTACTGCCGGTGTTAAGCTTCCCGTAGTTAGTTGATCGGAGGCTCTACTCGCGAAAAGTGGTTGCACTTTAGTTGCGCAACAATTAACAAGAGTCATAGGACAATATTATTAAATATATATATGTTTATATATATATATATATTACTAAATTGCTATTAATTATTATTATTATCAAATTATTAAATCACCCAAACCCATAGTCATACTCAGAACACAGGTTGTCGGCAGTCAAAACAACGTTCAATGATGCCAAACTCAGATGCGTGTTCTCAACATCACCCGTCATCCGATGTCAAAACAAAAATAAGTTGCCTATGTTGACCTCGTCAATGCTCATCTACCAATTCAAGTGCCACCTCTGTAGGTCGTACGTCAAGGCAGCATCAAGGAACATCAACCCGCTTGGCTTAGACACGGAGTAATCTGAGTTATTTCCAGTTTCATTGTTGCACAGTTGGTCGAAACTGGACATAGGGTGGATACTAATTCGGCTTTCACCATCATTTATCGCGTCCCACAACACAAATCCAAGGCTGTTCGAATTAAAACACTAGCAACAGCCGAGGCAATTATCATCCACTTGTTGAAGCCAGAATTGTGTGCTCAAAAAACACTTGTTCAGGCACTTAAACTTCCATGGCCCAAAGCGGACAACATCACGCATGAGCGTTGCGATGACTCAAATCAATTATCAACGCTTGCGTAACCCGTTCTTATCTGAACAGCAGAACGAGTGACAAAGGTGTCCCTACCCCACCCCTTTGCTATAATTATTTGACCTCGACTGTTTGACACACTTTCTCGTTATTTTCTCATATAAATGTGGTTGTGCTGGCTTGATAAGGAACTCACCGGAAACATATTTTCGCCTACAACTTGTGTTCAAATTATTAAATATTATTATTATCATTATTAAAGTAGGGGCCAAATATTAATTTGTATTTGGACATTTGGAATTATTTCAGTTTGGTTCATTTTTGGGTGATCATTTCTGTCTTCTGCATCTATCTATTTTATAAACCTGTGAATAATGTTCAAATCGAGCGGAATTGTTTGACCTGTCTGTGTACTGGGTCCCCTTAACTCAAAATCCGTTTCGCGAGCCGAGCTGTACATTGGACAAATAAAACCTGCCGGTGATTGGCCGCACCAATTCCCTGTAATCTGATTGGTTCGCTTTGACTCAAGGGGACAAGGAAAATCCCCGCGAGTTGGGCAGACGGGGATAGTCGGTTAGCAATGGATGTGTGGTAGGTCAGGGTGGTAGGGCAGGAGGTGTCCATGTGTGTGTGTGTGGCGATGACTAGGGGAACAGAAGTGTGAGAGAGATTAAAACAACAATTCGGCATCTGCAGAGAAATGGCAGGATGAGACTGAACGGTGAAGCGACTATCTCGACAACTGTGAGAGAATCGATAAATGGAATGGCCTGAACCACAATTCAGATCAAACATCTCTCCGTTCATTCGAATTTTCTACATTCTTCTAAAATAGCCATCGAGTCATCTGTGATCTATCGTGTTTGTAAAACGGACGGATACCGCACATCACATGAATACTATGACTTCAGTGCCCATGATTAATCCTTTTCTGACTACCTGTCCGGATCATGATGAAAACGAGTTAGATGCAGCTAACAATAACAACAGTACCAGTTCATACGGGGAAATTCAGCGAAACGGACATTCCCTTTCTATTGGAGTACTCACATCTAACCGGGATATGGCAGACATTTCGAGTGGCTTATCGGCATCAAACTCTTATCCAGATGAACGACTCGCATCGAGTAATAGCTCGTATGCTACAGGAGTAGAAAGTATACATTCCAACCGCGAATCAAGCACCATGCTTGTCAGTGCCATACCTAATCCTGCCAGTGGTTATCTGAGCCTGTTCTACAGTCGTCGTGTGGAAACTCGTCGAAGTCAGATTGCTAAAACACTGCGTGAAGTGGTCCATATCGCTCAGGAAATACTACACGAAGTGGAATTACAAGAGCCTCGCTTTATCAGCACACTGAAACTAGTTCATCCGAAAAATACACAGACGGGCCTGGTGGATGATCTGACCCAGACCTCACCCAATCGAGGTTTGGCCTATTACGATGGGCTTCGGGTCCTCTCCCCAACCTGTTTCGAAGTCACCCTGTTTCTCAACCAGATGGGTGTGTTCAATTTTGTGGACGACGGGAGTGTGCCCGGTGGCGCAGTGCTTAAACTGTCTGACGGTAGAAAACGTTCCATGTCGCTGTGGGTCGAGTTTATCACCGCATCCGGTTACCTGTCGGCCAGGAAAATTCGTGCCCGATTTCACAGTCTAGTTGGACAAGCTTTGCAAAAATGTGGATATCGGAGCATGTTACGCATGCTGGGACACACGAGTGAAGTACGTATCTGTATACGTGAGCGATATATTTTACAAATCACACCAGCTTTTCGATGCTCCGGGCTGTGGCCTCGATCGGCCAGTCATTGGCCACCGAGCAATCTGATAAATAACAGTTTGAACTCACTGACAGGGGCTCAATGGCCATCAACCCATTTGATCAACGAAGTAAAACGAGAAGGTTTTTGTCTTTTAAGTCAAGAATCTGTCTATACTAAAGATAAACAGGCATCAGCTGAAGGGGACGCTTGGTTACTTGATTTTTACGATGCTGAAGAACGTCTGTTAGCATCCGGATCACGGAAACAATGTTTGAACATTTTGAAAACACTTGCTGATCAACATTTGATGGGTTTGGCCGGGAGCGCACCACATCAGAGTCATTTGACTAGCGAGACAACTGCGTTCCTCGGAATGTCCGAACCGACACTACAGGAGTATGATTTGAAAACACTCGTGCTTCATGAATGTGAAAAACATCCCCGAGAAAGCGAATGGACCACAGAAGCTTTACCCGATCGTATAAACGGTGTTCTATTACAGTTGATCTCTTGTCTTCAACATCGGTACTGTCCTCACTATTTTCTACCTCATTTGGATATATTTCGTGGACATTCACATGCCGGAATGGATGTGACAGCTCGACAGGCTTGGTGCCTGTTACGTGAACTACTGACTTGCCCGAGGGCTCTAGAGCGGCTGTGAAAAAAATCTGTGGACGGATTGGGCACTACTTTTATCTTCCCTTTCATTTTTAATTTCAACCAAGCAACCAAGGACATCACCACCACCAAAATTCGTCACAGACTAACAAAGTCGAACTATCATGCCACGTGACAGGTGAGATACCTTTCATTATTGAACTACTGACTCACTCAGGATCCTGATTAGAACACAGTGTCTGGACGCAATCTTGTTTTCTCACAACTTACAATGATGATTAGACTACTTGATCTGAATTTTACATTCTTCTGTTTTCCGCGTCACTTGACGCAAAATTTGGTCAACAAATATTTGGTCGCAAACAGTTCTCGATCTATACAGTCCTACTGATACGGGTTTGGTCTTGTAATACAGTATATAATAGTGGTAGCAGTAGCAGTAGTAGGCAGAGTGTAAATTGTACAAAAATGTATAAGGTATTCATCCGTATATTCAAAATCCAGAAAGGGATGAAAACATTCTGAGAAGTGTTTTGTAGTGTTTAAAGTAAATTAATCAATTATTACCGAGTTTTTTTAATGAGATTGCTTCATATTTGTAATGGATGTATATATATATGCTGGTCGACAAAATAGAAACAAGCATCAGACTGCTCTTTCGTCCTTTATGGGAGCTCTTCAGCAATGCTTGAGATTTTCTTGTCTCTGCAGGAACTCAAACTGCGAAAATTCTGGTGGGCTTAATGATTTAGCATGGATATAGTTCGATGAGCCCAGATAATTGTACAAACATAAGGTATCATCCAAGATCTTTGTGTGTTCTCGGTGTGAGTTTCACTCTTTTAAATTTTGTCTAGTCCCTACACATTTGTCTATATATTGTATTATTATTATTACACTGTCACATTTTAGTTCTTCAGATGATTCAGTTTGGTATGTTTTTTTCAAATTCCACTGTATGAGCTCCAGTCAAGCGTTTAACCAATGGAAACTGGCCGGAAACGCAATGGCTTCATCTTGACAGGAAGAAAAGTACGAACGCGATATTTCCAATTGTGTATCCGAAATAACCATCCAATGAGCCCATCATAGTCTGTGTAGGCTTAAAAATTGCTGGAGCACTTAAACAAAAACGGTCAACCTGGAAGATCCTTGATCTAGTTGGGAATGGGATCGAACTGTGAACTTGAGCAACGCGTCTACTCCTGATAGATTAAATAATTCAGGAACTTGCAATCATTTTTTTGTTTCTCCATACTTCCATTGCAGACAAGTTTTCTCACCGGAACGGAAAGCGTCACACATCAAAATCACATGAAAAAATGCAGTTAAATAGATGAGACCAATTAACAGTTCGAATGACCTACCGATTCAAGATAGATCTGTTGTATAGGGTTCGTTATTTCACGTAACAATAAGAATGATTCACATTAAATCCGAATATAGATAGGCTCACTAAGGAGTCATTTAACAAATTATGCACTTATGAACTCCGGGCTTACATGCTGGACTGATAAAGGGTATTCGTGGAAGACAGTTATTATTTTGGGATTGCTCAGCAGTGCGTACTATTTGTGTCCCTTTCAGGACTCGAACCGTGATTTTTCGGGCTGGGACTTCAAACCCTTACCCTTGAGCTACGAGATCGACGGTTATCAACTTGTGCGAATAGCTCAATCAATTTAGGTGGTGAATGTTGGGATTAGCCCACTCGGTTTTTTCACAGGCACCAGGCACAGTTGATGATGTTGGTTGTGGGTTTCGCTCCCTGGGAGATCGTTAATTCCCCACTGTTTGCATGCATTTAAATGCGATGGAAATATCCTCAACAGTGCCTGGTGCCTGTGAAAAACCGAATGGGCTAGTCCAAACATTCACTATCTAAATCATTGTTATTATTACTATTATTATTACGGGGCTCCCCGTATTGCTTTTACTCCCTGGGTCTCACACTTTGAGAGTTCATTCATCATGTCTGATAAATTTCTAAATTAAAAAATAATAAAAAAATGTATCAGGAATATGGAGAATAAATACCCAACCTTATGATTGAGACCCACACGGGAAGAGTCACACTCAGGCCTTCTGAAACTCTATCTTTTATGCTATGAAGGTATTCTGTTATTTTGACTTGAGGTCCGAGGACCCGTAAAACAAGCACCCAAGTTAGGATGATGGCTGTTTAGTTTATTTTGGAAAATTTATCAAAGAATGTAAATAGCGAGTGATTATTTGACCTGTGGGAGTTAATTAGTGACCCGACTGATTTTCTGGTTTGGATGGTAGTGGTTGAATGATGATGGTCATCAAATTATCACCCCAATTGAAGTGTGTTCGAATCCCACCACCAACACCGACTGAATTTCCTCATTCTATTTTGTATGGCGGCTCTTTGATTGACCGCTTCTCCCTCCCTGAAAATTTTATAATTATATATTCAGTGAAAGGAGGTAAAATTTAAAAAAAATGAGTTAGGCGCCGAGCTGATCGCGTTAATTGTATCACTCATTGTCGAAAGGCAAAGAGGAAATCTAAACTAAACAGCCAATAGGTGTGTACCGCATCTTAAGTTTACAATGTCAGGCTAACAATGGTTCCGTTATTGTAGTAAATTAAACTCCTTTTATTCAGTAAAGAGATTTTACTTTTATTTTCAAGTATTTCGCAACATAAGTACCTCACTATTAACCTACTTGTGATCAAGTCAAAGATTTTTAATTTGATTCCCAGTAGTGAAAATAATGATAATCTAATTACCGCAGCATGGAAACTTCATCGTAAAAATGGAAACGCAATTTTTTCTTTCTATTTATGAAAAGGTTGGTAGTCTTGAGTGAACTTGAACACCTCGTTTGGCGTCCTTGTGTGAGTTCTAATTTCTTTGAGGCCACTGATTTACACTCCATCCAAATATTCGATTATTGTAGTTTGATTATTTGTCAGTGCTGTGTAAATGCTGACTGGAATACGGCACACTGAGGATAATGTTTTGCTTGAATAGCTTTATCCAGTTTTACTGTGGAGTTGAAAAGTGAAACCTAATCAGCGTTCAGTGTTCAACAAGGCTGTAAAGCCCGAGACTACTTATCAGTCATTTGATCCATGTGGTAGCGCGCATTATACTAGTAAACTGTTTATTCGCATGGTGGATGGTTGATTAGATTGATTAGGTGTGTACATGCATAACATATCACAGTCCCTATTCCAGCGTCTCTCAGTTCGTGGGTTAAAACCCCACCACTATGACTCGACTTCCCCACCCAGTGATTGACAGACATCCTGTTTTTCTGTCATTTTTCATGAATCTCCAGATTTAGAATTATCAGGCTTGGTGTAATAAATATGGAAGACTTTTGCTTTAAAATACCGAAGGACGTACGCGGGAGTAATTTTACTTTGACGATAGAGCCTTCGATGTTAGCTGTTAAAAAACTACTTTGCTATCACGAATCATAAATTGAGAAGGATTGTGATGAGATGAGTGTTACATCCGAACGTTGAATGATCGTCTTCATCCGATTCAAGAATATCAGCAACCAAAAGGCGATTAAGCTTAATTGTTTTCAGCCTCATCCACGAAATAATATCTGGCATCCTCAGAAAATAACAGAAAATCGATCTAAAATATCATTGTATATATTTGTCAGGTCTTAGCAATAAATGTCGCTCCATTTGATCACCAGGTTGAGGGGGGGGGGCGGCGGGGTTGGAGATGCCAAAGCATTCCGCATCATTCAGACGTTATTCGGAGTGAATTTGACTTTGCTCAGTCGAAGTATACATCCGTATACCAGCCCAATATAGTGGCAGGACAATAAGCTAGCACACCAAAGTTCATGATCCTACATACGGACATTCGTGAAAAGTCGCAGAAAACAGGGTGCTTTAAAGCACTTTGTGTACTATATATCCGGTTTCAAAGCGCTGGATTTGATTTATTTATTCAGATTCACGAATATACTCCACCTGTCTGGGAACAGTAAACTTGCACAAAAACAAACCGAATAATGATTAATATAAATAGACATGCGTTCAGGGTGTTGGCGACCCAGCTGTAGCTCAAAATCAAGGGTTTCAACTCCATCGACAAAAGGTTTGTGGTTCGAGTCTTAAAACGGAAGCGAAACCTCCTCAGGAACGAATCAGCTATCCAGTGCTCTTTGTCGGCTATCACACATGAAACTCCATTGCTGGTAAACTGTATTCTTATTTGAGGAATGCTTGAAATTTCGTAGAGTGAGACACAAAAAGTGCAAAATACAGCACTGGGACCTGAAAATTCATATCACCAACAAAAAAATATTTGAGTGAATCAATCACAATGAACGTTGTGTATGGTCGGAAAAAAGACTGAGTAAGCCCTTTGGTTTGCATCTTTCTTCTGCAGATTTACTGTGTTTCATAAAATAAATGAGTGCTAATGGCACTGAGGAACATTACTCACGGTGGTATTTCTGCGTCAACGGAGTTAACGTGATGAAACCTGGAAAACTAATTAAAATCAGACCGAATAAAGAGTATCCAATTCATTGCACACAGCTCAGTTGTTACAGTTTTGTGTGAATAGAAAAAATGTTCAACCGATGGAGTGGAACTTTCCAGTGGTGCTCAGGGATCACTGATCACATCCGGGAGTTGAAGCAAGCCAACGAGTAGGACATGACAGTCGCTAGAAGTGAGCACACCCAAGGTAGGATCATATCCTCAAATACAATCTGGCCTCCGAGTGTGAATAAGTTAATTTAA